TAGTGGGGTTGTGGTATGGTAATTGGTGTGTTGAGTGTGTGTGGCTGTAGTGGTAGTGTGTTTGTAAGTGGTCATAGTGGTGGTGTGGTGGTGTACAGTAGGTAGTGGGGCTGTGTATGGTAGTGGCGGTTAATGGAATAGAGGTGATGGGTGTTACATCTTGACGGCGTGGCTGCCAAACACACATCAGTACCAGAATAGGCCTCGACAGGTGTTTAACATGAGCAAGATTGTGTGAACCTTCCCACAAGAAGCCTGGTTATTTCCTTCCATTTTATGAGGTGAGGAAAAAAGAGGATGAAGGAAGTTGTGGAAGGGAGGGAGGAGAGAAGAAGGAAATAGATGCTTCAGTGATCTCAGTTTCCAGCCATGACGCGATATATATGTTAAGGGCAGACGAAATGGAGGATAAAAGGAAGTGGCGTTTAGTGACAGGAAAGGAAGGAGTAAAGGAGGAGAAACGAAAGGAGGTGGAGAGGAGATGGATAAAATAAAACAGCGGAAATGTTAGGTACTGGCGAGCCAGTATGGAACGGTATACGGTTGATAAACGAATTACTGCTTGCCTGCTATATAAAAATAAATGTTTGATCGCGCATAAAGTCGGCTCAGCCAATCTCTGCTGATGTCACGCACACGGTTCCGCGACGTGCCTGGTGATGAGCACGGGTGGTACCCAGTTCATAAGTCAAATAATGCATAACTTCAGGTTAAGGTGCTCCTGATTACAACAGCAAAAAATCTCCAGCAGTATGATGCACAAAACACGATAGCATAGATTTATCCACTGTATTGCGAAAAAACTGCGCCAATATCCCTAAAGTTATATCACTGAGCCAATTGGTACAGGATCATGTAAACAACTTAAAGATTCACTACACAGTCCTGGCACCAAAAGTCTCTGCATATTACTTAACAGGACAGTGCCCCTCAAACTTTCAAGAAGTAGTTCAGAGGCACATCTCATTAAGCCAAAAGTGAATGGACCAGCCACAGTGCATGACAGACCAGGCCACCACCAATGAAGAAGTGTGTGGCACGTGCAGACGGTTACCGGGGTACCACCACACCCTATTAACTCAAACCCCACATGCAAGCAACGGTGATATACGCGTTACGACGCAATGTTTCGATGAATACCAGAAATTTTTCATCACTCTGTTAAAGCCATTTATGACCAAATGATGATTAATGAGTAATTTTAATAGATTGCCGAGACAGCTGGGACCAGAATACAAGGTCGAAATATAAACAGGGTGAACAGTGCGACCTGCCTGAGAAGTGTAGCAGTGGGGTTGTATGTAGAAGACAGAAGTTGGAGGGAACAGGAGGGTTGTAGGTGTGGGGTTGGGTGGAAAGGGGTTGGTAAGGGGGAAGCAGTAGTGGGGTTGTGGTGGTGGGTCAGGTGGTGTAAGGTTGTGGTGGTGGTTGGTAGTGGTGAGTGGAAATGTGGTGGTGGGTTATAGTAGTGGGGTTGTGGTGGTGTGTAGGGGGTTGTAGTGGGTAGTGGGTTATGAAGCAGTAATGGTTGCACAGAAGTGGGTAGTGGGGTTGTGGGTGGTGAGCAGTGGCAGGGGTTGTGTGGTGTGGGGTATGGCAATGGTGGTGTCAGATGGTGTGTATTAGTAGGCAGTGGTGGTGCACAGGCGGTAGGAACAAAGTGGTGGTTGCAGTGGTAAAAGGGGCTGATGGTAGCAGCAATAGGCATATAACAGTGGTGGCTGAGGTGGTGTGGTTGTAGTAGTGGGGCTGTGGTGGTGTGGTTGTAGTAGTGGGTTGTGGTACGCAATGGTGGTGGGCTGAGGTGGTGTGGTTGTGGGTTGTAGGTGTGGTTATAGTGGTGAAGGGGTTGTGGTGGTGTGGCTGTAGTGGTAGTGGGGGGTTGTGGTGGGTGGGTTGTAGTGGTAGTGGGTTGTGGTGTGGTTATAGTGTAGTGGGGCCAGGCAGGCGGCCAGGTGGGTTGTGGTATGGCATTGTGGTGGGGCTGATGGTGTGCTAGCAGTAGTAAATGTGCGGTGTGGCCAGTAGGTGGTAGTAATGTGGTGGTGTGGTTGCAGGGTATTGCGGGTATGGTAATGGTAGGTTGAGGTGGTGTGGTTGTAGGTGGCAGGGAAGCGTGGTGGTGTGGTTGCAGGGTGGGTATGAGGTGGTGTGGTTGTAGTGGCATAATGCGTATGAGGTGCGTGTGGTTGTAGTGTGGGGCTGCGGTGGTGTAAGCCAGTGTGGGTTGTGTGGTGTGGTTGCAGGGGGTTTGTGGTGGTGTGGCTAGGTGGCAGGGTTGTGTTGGTGTGGTTGTATAGTGGCGTTGTGGTGGTGTGGTTGTGGTGGTAGGGGTTGTGGTGGTGTGGTTATAGTGGCAGTGGGGTTGTGGTGGTGTGTGGTTATAGTGGTAGTGGGGTTGTGGTGGTGTGGTTATAGTGGTAGGGTGGGGTTGTGGTGGTAGTATTGTGGTGCTCATTGGGGTGCTGCCTGGTAGGTAGTGGCGTGTAATGGTGGTAGAGTAATAGTGGCATTTACGCCATCATCAACGCTCATTCTACACTACACATCAACTACACTGTCATCTACACTACACTAGCCACACCACGCCCACACTGGTTAATTTCCAACTACACTGTCATCTACTCACATCAACTACACTATCATCTATGTGGTTATAATTGGTGGTGGGTTGTGGTGGTTGTGGTTTATAGTTAGTTGGGGTGGGGTTTGTTGGTGGTAGTATTTGGTAGAGGTTGCAAGTGTCATGGTAGTGGTGGTTAATGGTGATTTGGTGGGGTGTTGGTGGGTGGGGTTGGTCAATCTGCGTGATTCATTATCATCCTGAGCACACTCTGTCTACATAATCTACGCATCATTACTTTTTTTCTCTCACTACTACTACTACTACTTTGCCATCACCCGGGATCGAGTATGACTATCATCCAGCTATGATACAGTGATATGAGTTATTTAACCTTCGTTGATGTGCTCTGAGGTGACTCGAGAGGTCGATACGGGACCGGCAGGGTCGTTCACTGATGGTGCACGTGTGGAGGGCTACATGTAGTGCGGGAGGGGCGGCGGCAGTGTCTTTCCCGCACTGGTGCTTTTCTGCCTCGGTATGCAGTCGGGCTAATTCGAAAGTATTGACGCCTTCTCGTGTAACAATGTAACTGTTCAATTTGAGTAACGTCGTTAATAAACGAAGAACCGTTATGATTAGTTCTCAATTCCCTTGTGTTGACTAAAACATTGTCATGCATGTCTTTGGTATTATGCAGTAATACAATGAGTCGAAAATAATAACTATTTCATATTTCCCCTCTGTTATGTGTTGTATCTTAGTCCCTAGCTATCCACCTCAGTTATCCACCTCCTGGTCTCCCCTTGGTGTGAGAGCCGACTGTAGGCCTCCACCACTGACCACAACCTTCTTCCCTCCACTCACACTCTCCCCTCAAACATAAACAAGTCTCTCCCTCTCTCCCAGTCTTCCTCCACCCCTAATCTTCCTCATCTCACTAGTCTTACGAGTATAACGAACAGAGAAGTAAAGAGAATTGGATAATAAAGAAAAAGTAAAAGTAAAAAAAAATACAAGTAGTAAAAGAAAATAAATAAGAAAAAAAAGAATAGAAAATAAATAATTAAACCTTTTTTATATAATTATTGTTACACTCGTGGTGCTCCTCCAAGCGTTGTGGTGTGGAGTAATTGTCTCCCAGGTGAGGGGGTCGATTTGGCACTTTTTCAGGTTTGTTTTAAGACTATCCTTATACCTTTTCAATTGCCCGCCAGCGTTACATTTACTATTCGTTAAGTGACTGTGAAGTAGCTGCTTTGGCAGTCTACTGTCGTCCATGCGGGTAACATGGCCAGTCCAGCGTAGTTGTTCATGAATAATGGTAGCCTCGATGCTCCTACAGTTGGTGTCAGCGAGAATACTGGCATTTGTTCTCTTATCTTCCCAGTGAACTCGGTGAATGGAACTTAAACTATGTTGGTGAAAGTTTTCAAGTGCCTTGAGATGCCTCCACATTACAGGAACCATTACCTACCAGTGTACCACATTACATAAACTAGTACCATGTTACAGTTTTTTAGTTTAACAAATTTATTGACAAAGCTTGGAGTTACAGGAACCATTACAGAAACTATTACCGCATTGCAGGACGGACAGCCTGTAGAGTATCAGTTCGCGTACAAAGTGAAGGCAGGCTTCCCCAACTGTACCTTCTACAACCTGCAGCCGGATGTAGGGCCTGAGGACACCTTCTACCTCCTCCCTGATGGTCAGTAGCTCCCCTCCCCTTGTCTCTCTCTCTCTCCTTCCCTCCCTCCTCTCTCTAATGTTTAATTCTGTATCATGTATAGCAAACGTTGTCTTCTTATTTGTCAGTTATAGGAAACGTTTTCTTCTTGGCTTTGTAAAGAAACCTTGTCTTCTCCTAACTCGTATATCAAAAACAGTTTTCTTCTCTTAACTCCTATATAAAAAAAAAGTTGTCTTCTCCTAACTCCTACGTCAAAAAACGTTGTCTTCCCCCAAAACTTGTCTTCCTTCTAATACATTAAAACACGTCACTTCTTCCGTCACAGGTCAGTTGCTGGTACCGTCTAATGCTGACAGGAAGATGGCGGGGGACAAGTTCTGTCTCCTGTCTACCGGTGAACACATGGAGGCCATCGTCTGTTTCCCTGATATGGTGAGAACGGTGAGGAACTTTTTCTCACTTATTGTCTAGAATAAGGAACTTTCTCTCACTTATTGCCTAGGATGAGGAACTTTCTCTCACTTATTGTCTAGAAATTTGTGAACACTAATATAACCCGGAATGTACAGTTGAACACCTATGGAGCGAACCTGTTGAACACATACTCTGAGGACTGAACACTGCCTTAGTTCAAGCTTAAATAAACTCTTAAAACATTGTTCAAAATACAACACATTAAAAAATAATAACACTGGTATACGCGCAGGTGATGTAATTAATAAATGAAACAGGTAGTCATATTCACTTAATCTAAAGACCTTATCTAAACTAACCTAACCTAACCTAACATTACCTTTACATGCAGTCAACAACCATTAACCCAAACACCTTCTATCTTTAATTCCTTCCTACCTTCCTTCCTACCTTCACTAACCACTCATGCAAACATCTTCTATCCTTCCTTCCTTCCTTCCTTCACTAACCACTCATTCAAGCACCTTTTATCCTGTCTTCCTTCCTTCCTTCCTTCACTAACCACTCATGCAAACATCTTCTATCCTTTCTTCCTTCCTTCCTTCCTTCACTAACCACTCATGCAAACATCTTCTATCCTTCCTTCCTTCCTTCCTTCACTAACCACTCATTCAAGCACCTTTTATCCTGTCTTCCTTCCTTCCTTCCTTCACTAACCACTCATGCAAACATCTTCTATCCTTTCTTCCTTCCTTCCTTCCTTCACTAACCACTCATTCAAGCACCTTTTATCCTGTCTTCCTTCCTTCCTTCCTTCACTAACCACTCATGCAAACATCTTCTATCCTTCCTTCCTTCCTTCACTAACCACTCATGCAAGCACCTTCTATCGTGTCTTCTTTCCCACAGACAGAATCTAGCTTCGACCGAGTAGTGTATCAGACACTCTATCCCGTCGGCCTGATCATCTCCGCGGTGTTCCTGGCGGCGACGCTGCTGGCGTATTGCCTGGTGGTGGAACTGAGAGACCTGCTGGGGAGATGTCTCATGTGTAGCGTCTTCGCCCTCTGTGTAGCCCAGACTTCCACCGTAATTGTGCAGATGGCCACCCACCTCCTCTCCATGACGGCCTGCGTGATAATAGGTGAGTGGGAAGGAGCGAGTGGGAGGGAGTGGGAAGGAGAGGGAAAGTAACTGCTGCAGGAAGGAGGCTTAGGTCGAGGTTCCTGATGGTTTGTTTACACTTCGTCGTCCACTTTGCCATGAGTTTCTTCCAGGTAAAATTTCCTTCGAAGTTGTCAAGACTAAATTTTCTAAAACAGTTTCGAGGGTAAATTCTTAGAAAATCTTGATATCGATTTTATTTTATTTTTTAACTGTCGGGGCTAAAAATACATTTGAGTTGAAGGATGAGAGAGAGAGAGAGAGAGAGAGAGAGAGAGAGAGAGAGAGATGAATGGGTGTGATATATACGACATCAGTTTCCAGTACTTAACCACACACCATCTGTCACTCATTATGTAAAACCTCCTTTACTTTCATTCTCTTTCTCTCTCCCATATCCCCCCCGCCTCTCTCTCTCTCTCTCTCTCTCTCTCTCTCTCTCTTCTTCCCTTCTTTATCTCCTCTCTACCCCGTTCTCTACCCTGAACAACGACCCTCACAGTGAACAAGAACACACACACTCACTCACGGCCCACTACCCACGCCTCGCTCTTGACACGGGTTCAGCCAGTCCCACGCTTTGTTCCACCCAAGCGACACCCGTCTCCATACCCATTCCACACAGTCTTCACCCTCTCTCTCTCTCTCTCTCTCCCTCCTACCTCTCCCATCATCACCACATTCTCCTTCTCACTTCCCTCCCAGCAACCCACATGACTCTGACCTATATATACTGTTAATGAATATGATGTATTTCTTTGTGTATGAACCTCTGTCCTGTGTGGCAGTGAGAAGTGATACCACCCTCAGTATCAAGACCTGACTGAGTTACTTAGCATCGGCAAACTATTCTACAAGCTTTGTCAATAAATGTGTTAACCTAAAAAAAAACACATCCTCCCTCCCACTCCCCTCCTAGAACCACAATAAAAATACCCTCCCTCCTTCCTACCTCCCTTCTCCCTCCCATTTCCCTCCTAGCTACACCTCACACTCCCTCCCTCCCTCTCCCACCCCACCTCCCCTTCCCCACCACACCCTCCCTCTCCCCACCCACACCCCTCCCCTCCCCACCTACACCCTCCCTCCCCACCTACACCCTCCCTCTCCCCACCTACACACCTACACCCTCCCTCCCCACCTACACCACCCACACCCTCCCCCCTTCCTACACTCTCAAAACACTAGAACAAAGCAACTGTCAATAATTACAAGCCATGACAGTCATTACATAGGTAGTCACAGAACTCGCCAGGTAAATTGGCCAATTACCACATGGTTCACTAGTTAAGGAGATTTATCAGTTGGTTTTTATGACCCCCCTAGCTCCCCTCCCTCAACCCCCCCCCCACCCCCCCACCCCCCTTCTCCTCAGGTAGTCACAATTGTATGAAGGTTTTCTCTACCAAGGGTGTAAGAAGGTTTGTTTGTTTGTGTGTGTTTGAATTTTGTTTGTTTGTGTGTGTTTGTATTATGTTTGTTTGTGTGTGTGTTTGTATTTTGTTTGTTTGTGTTTGTCTCATGTGCATCAGCAATTGTGGTTATTTTAAAGTGTAACATCACCTCTTCCTTTTGTGTCTGTACCTGTGTCTGTACCTGTCTGTGTCTTGACCTGTGTCTGTACCTGTCTGTGTCTTGACCTGTGCCTGTACCTGTCTGTATCTGTACCTGTCTGTGTCTGTACCTGTCTGTGTGTGTACCTGTCTGTGTCTTTACCTGTGTCTGTACCTGTCTGTGTCTTGACCTGTGTCTGTACCTGTCTGTGTCTGTACCTGTCTGTGTCTGTACCTGTCTATGTCTGTACCTGTCTGTATCTTTACCTGTATCTGTACCTGTCTGTGTCTTTACCTGTGTCTGTACCTGTCTGTGTCTTGACCTGTGTCTTGACCTGTGTCTGTACCTGTGTCTGTACCTGTATGTGTCTTTGTGTCTGTATCTTTGTCTGTTAATCAAGGCACAGGTGTAAATTCTAAAACTCCATTTAATTCTATTTCTAAAGTGTCTAATTATTATTTTGATTGTCTAATACTATTTTCATGAGTTTAATTCTTAAGTGTCTAATTCTAATTCTGATTCTAAACATTTTAATTATTTGTGTCTAATTCTAAAGTGTCTAATTCCATTGTATCTAATTCTTATATATATCTTAATTCTGTTTATGGATCCAAATTTTTATCCCAATAGTTAATTTTCAAGATAGCAATTCTAATTCTCACGTCTAAATTCAATTCTAAAGTGTCTAATTCTAATTCTCACGTCTAAATCCAATTCTAAAGTTCCTAATTCTAGTTGAAATGTATCTAATTCTAATATATATGATTGGAAAGTGTCTAATCCTTCTGGCACTGTCCCGCAGCTGTGTTTATGCACTTCTGGTACCTGTCAGCGTTCCTCTGGCTCAACGTGATTTGTTTCAACGTCTTCCTCACAATCTGGTCAGTGATATACCTTTTGTTTTGGTGTAGGGGCCTGGGGATGGGGTGGAAGGGAGGTACGGACGGACATGTGGGAAGGGAATGTGTGGAATGAAAAGACAGAGAATGAGAGTAGATGAGGAGATAAGGAGGAGGAGGGGGCGAGGTAGGGTGAGAATATAGGGAGAAGGGTGAACAAGGGGAGGATAGAGATACGTAAGGGAGAGGAAGAAAGTAGGGAATGTAAGATGAGGGTGGTGGGGTGGGGAGAGTATGGGCGTGAAGGGAGGCGTGAAGATAACAGCTGTAAGGGGGTTGGTAGAGGGGTTAGGGAAATGAAAATGTATTATTATTATTATTATTATTATTATTATTATTATTGCTTCTTAGAGTGAGATTATCAATGTCCTTGTTAGTTTTTTAACCATTATATACATTTCCTGATAAAAATATAAGTATTTCTTAAAATATTGCACTTAAGGTGAACACACACACACACACACACACACTTCAAGAAATGTACCCGACCAGACGCCCCCCAAAATAATTGAGTTACCCATTACATCCACTTACGTTTTCTCTCTTCCCGCTCCACTGCCTAAAAACGTCATAATCCCACCGAGCAAACATAGGTTATTTTTCCCCCCTATTCTTTCAATATTTACCGAAATTATTGAGAGTAGATGTTGTATTGTCTCTCCTTCCTAATGTTTACTCACCATTATCGACTTATTCTCTCTTTATCACTGGTTTTCTACCTCAAACAATGATAATAATATTCTTAGTGTTGTTCGTCTTTGTTATATCATTTGTATCCGATTTTTCTATAATTTCCTTCTTTATCCTGTATTATTATCTGTTTTTATTGCTTATCCACTTCTTTTATCCTCTTCTTGTTCTCTTTAGCATTATTTAATCCTTTAGTGTAAATTTCCTTATTATCTATCTATCTATCTATCAATCTATCTATCTATCTATTCCTTAGGTGTTTGGGGTCAATAGGTCAAAGGTGAAGGTCATAATTATTCCTTTAAAAAACGAAACTTTCCCGACGTGATTAAATTTGGTACCTCACTGTTTTCTTCTCTCTCAGGCATCCAGTGTTGTTACGCAAGACTAGAAGGGGGAGGGGGGGTGCTAGGAGGTAGGGGATGGAGGTAGTGGGGAGAGGGTAAGGGGGTGGGGGAGGAGGGGGTGGGTGTTTGTTTACAGGAGCCAGCTGGTCCAGATGGTGAGATAATGAGTCCACACCTGACGCCTGGAAAGCCTCACTCATTGCTTCGTGTGAGAGAGAGAGAGAGAAAGAGAGAGTTCCTGGAAGATTACTATTGCATCATAAAAAAGGCTTTGGAGAATTATCTATCTATCTATCTATCTGTCTATGTATCTATCTATCTATCTGTCTATCTATCTATCTATCTATCTGTCTGTCTATCTATCTATCTATCTATGTCCTCCGTAATAATCCTTCCTCCTCTTCCTCCTCAACACCATCTTGACCCGGCTCGTGCGTACTGATGCCCTGACACATCACTCATTACACGCCTTCCTGATGGAGTGATCCGCCACGTCAGGGTCCTTAAGGCCACAAGTCTCTAAGGATCTTACGTTAAATGTCCCGCGTACCTTAACTGGTTCCCTTAAGTTACGACGGTGGATTCTCAAATATCCCAACGTTATTTAATTTTTTTTTCCCTTGATGGAGATGTGAAAACGTATCCAAATGTCTTCCCTTACAGTGCGACACAAAGATGGAAGGTAAATTTAACGTTGTGGTTTATTGGTTATGGGATGTAGATGTGGTCAAACATGTTCGGTTAGGGAGAAAAATTAGATTACAAATTTGTGATAATGAGGGTCTCTCTCTCTCTCTCTCTCTCTCTCTCTCTCTCTCTCTCTCTCTCTCTCCACCCACCCATGGTCAGGTCGTCTAAGGTGCTGTAATCTGCATAGTCGGAAAACTTATTCCAAACGAGGCGAATAAATCCGTCGAAATTTAGCGAGATCGTCATTTCGAACGTGACGAAGAGGAGGTAACGGAGAAGGAGAAGAAGAGGGACGAGGGACGGGGGAAGGAGGAAAGGACGGGGGAGGATGAGGAGGAGAAGGAAGATGAGGAGGAACGGAGGAAGAGGAGGAGGTGAGGGAAAAGAGAAAGAGACGCTTTCCAACAACCAAGGTAAAATTTCTCATATATCGCGAGGGAGCTGCACTGACCAGGCCATAAAGTAAAGCTGCTCTAATTCCGAAGGTTAATTTGATGGGGATCACTCCGAGGTGTTGACGAGCCAGGAGCGGAGGAGCGATAAGCAGGTCAGGCGGACGGAGGAGCGAAAGGCAGGGCGGAAAACGAAGGGGGATTGAGAGGAAAGGAAGGAGGTAGGGGGGAGGACCACTCTGCGCCTGACTGAGCTGATTGTCTTATCAGTCGTCTCCTGCCAGGTGTCGTCCATGTCTTCAGGAGGGCGTGGCGGTCTGTGTCAGGTCCTCGCTCCCTCACTCAAGACACCACTCACTCAAGACACCGCTTTGTGTGTGTGGGGGGGGGGGGAATCAATTAAAAAATCTCCCTTTACGACATTTAAAACACAAAACAAAGCTTGAATTACGATACTTAACATCAGTGACTTCATCTCAAACTTTTAACACCCGAGAAAAGAAACAAAAACAAGATCTTCAAATATTAAAAAAACAAAAATATAAACTCACGAAACGATAATTAATGCAGTCGTGTTAGAGTCTCGACCACGTCCCGCCAGCCAGCTCAGTGACGTCATGCGAGGGGGGACTGGGCCTACACACACACACACACACACACTTTAAACCATTAATGACAGTCCAGATTTATATGACGGTAGACCAAACACCTCCCTCCCCCACCCTCCCCACCTCCTCACCTTCCTTATCTCCCCTTCCCCACCTTCCCCACCTTCCTCACCTTCCCCTCCTTGTCTGCGAAGGTTAATTTACTGAAGGGAAATCAGTTTTCCCCCTGATTTGCGAGGTGAATATGCTAATTAGGCTCTCATGGGAGGGGGAACGGAGGTAATGTAGTCGTGTGTGTGTGTGTGTGTCTGTGTCTGTCTGTCTGTCTGTGTGTGTCTGTCTGTCTGTCTGTCTGTGTGTGTGTGTGCCCTAAGAGAAGGCGGAAGAGGTTTAGGACGGCCGCCGTTGAGTGCAGTGATTAAAGACTCCATTATGCTGTACCGTAACCTACTACATTCGTCTCCACACTGTATTAAATCTCTGTTGTAATGTATTAAGCTACGTTGTATTAAGTGGCGTTGTATTTTAAGTAATGTCGTAGTGTTTTTTAAATTGTATTGTACTTCATTCAGTCCTGTTATTGTACTTGACTGTGCAGGTATGTAATGCACTGTAATGAGAGAGAGAGAGAGAGAGAGAGAGAGTGTGTGTCCTCCTCCTCCTCCCCCCCCCTCTTCCTGCTCCTCACATGAATGACTTAACGCAAAAACGAGTCACCGGGTTGTTATATAACACACCACCACCACCACCACCACACCCTGCACTGGTGGTGGTGGTGGTGGTAGTACTAGTAATACAGCACAATACACTACACCACAACAGCGTAATGCAACACATACAGTACATCACAACAGTGTGCCACAATACAATACCTTCAACAGTCTAGCCACACCACAACAGCCTGACCACACCACAAATGCCTGAGTCATACTGTTGAATCTTCTTGTCACTGAGGAAAAATGTGACTTTCCGCATGACGTCATACACTGTTACGTCACCGAGCCATTGTGACGCTACTCAGAGCGTCTCACTTTTTTAAACACAATGAAGTAACAGTAACGGATGGTGTGTTTATTTTGTACATACACACAAAAAAATAATACAGATAGTGTGTGTGTCTGTGTGTGTGTGTGTGGAAGAAGGGATGGGTGGTGACCTTGGCAACAGCAACAATGGGCTAATGTACGGTATAGGTGTGTCATCCCCCCAGACCCCCCCTCTCTCTCTCTCTCTCTCGGCTTAAATTCTCAACAGTTTACGTGTCAAATCACCTCTTTAAGTCACAATACATATGACTGTCTCGGCTCTTGAGTCCTTAAACAGTCGGTCAGTCATTTAGTCAGTCATTCAGTCAAACATTCAATTATTCAGTCAATTGGTCAGTCAATCAATTCATTCACTCAATCAGTCAATCAATCAGTCACTCAGTCAGTCAATCAACCTTTTTGGAGATGTGTATTCCACTAAGGCTCGACTATACATGTAGGTAGAGTCTCACCCTATTTCATCCATCATATATCGGTAGTGTGGGTCCAAGGTAGCCAGGGGTAGAGTTGAGTAGGTAGATAACATTCCATTTCCATCTCTACCCTCAGTGACGATAACATGGCGTATTCTGAGTGTTAAAATTCGCCAGTTTTATTTGTTTATTTGAACGTCTGATGGGAATATGACCTGTGCTGGGGTTCTGATTATTTTACGATGCTTGATTGTAGTCTCTCTCTCTCTCTCTCTCTACTTTACTCTTCATAAAGTTTTAAGTCAATCCCTCAATTCTCTGGATCCTATACTGAAGGGCCTGCGCGCACACACCCTCCCTCCCCCTTGTCACAGCCTAAGGTGGTCCTATAAGACTAACCCTGAGCGTCTAGCTATTCATTTTCTCAACGGGTCATCAACAGTGACTATAAAAGGTTAGGTTTAGATTAGGTTGTAGATTACGTTAGGATAGATAGGGTTAGGTTAGTTTAGGCTTGGATTAGGTTAAGTTAGGGTAATTAAACTACGATACCAAGATGGATTATCAAAAGATTCATACATTTAATTTTCGAGTCAATTTATCATTAAGAATTGTGATTATATCATTTATGTCTATTATTTACCAAAAGAAGTAATTTAGAGGAATCCTGAAGGTGTTGTTCCTTTCCTTTCCTTTCCTTTGCTTACTTACTTACTTTCCTCTCCTCATCCTTCCATCCTTTCATGGACTCCATTCAACACTCCTAGCCTCCCTCCCTCCCTCCCTCCCTCACAAC